TGTTAAACTTTTAGTTAAAATTGTTAATGAATTTTCATAATAGTGTAGGGCACGATCATAGTCGTTGTTTCGAAAGTAAATACCTGCAATACCAGAGTATGTTATTGCAAAAGATGGATGGTCTTTTGGTAAAATTTGTTCGTTTATTTTTAGTGCTTTTTGATGGTTGGCCAGTGCAAGTTCATAATTTTGTTGTTTAGCATAAACTAATCCTAAATTATTATAGGTTGTGGCCACATTTTTATGATTTTCATTTCCATAATTTAAAATAAAAATTTCCAAAGCCTTTTCATACTGTTTAATGGCTAAATCCAGATTACCTTTCGCTGTATATACTAAACCTAAATTTGTATAAACAGCTGCAAAACTAACATGATTTTTATTATAAAAATTTAATTGTACTTCAATTTGTTTTTGATAATAGTGAATTGCTAAATCATAATTACATTTATCAGAATTAATAGATCCTAAAGTTTGATAACATTTAATGAATAAACATTTATCATTGACTGAAAAAGTATTCAATAAACGATTACAATAATGTTCAGCTTTATCATTTTGATTGAGTTCATGTAGTAACCATGCAATATCAGCTAGATCAGTTTGTTCATCAAGGTTGTTTTTCTTATAAGAATAGATCTCCTTCAAACTATGGTCGTTTTCATCACATAATTGAAGTTGTACAGTCCAAATTCCATTGTCTTGACGTATATTTCTTATTTTAAAGATTGTACCAAGCATAAATAATACTTCTTCCTCTGAATTTCCAAAAAAACTTAGATGTGAAATAGAAGCATAAGGTTTAACTGATTCAAAATGATTATGATCAATTTCAATGTCAAATAGAACTGATTGTAATGCAGAATTATTAGTATGACCATCAACAAATGATGAAATAAATTGTAATGCAACATTTTTACTTTTACTTGCTGATAAAAATGTATTCATTGAAATATATTGTCCAATAGTATTAGATTTCATTTGTTCGAATTCTGTTTTCGCTAACATTTGACCTCGATAAACATGTATATCTTCTTTTTTATATTCATCTCTCAATTGTTTATAAATATCTTTAATTAGAAAACGAAATGCAATTATAACATCCAAATTTTCATTTCGGAGTGCTGCATTTAAAATTCGATATAAACCAGAGTCACGTGTATACCATCGTATTGCATCATTCGAATTATATGTTTCAATAAATTCTTCAATTTTTCGAAGTTCACTTTCATTATTACGATAATTAATTTTCCAACAATCTACTAATTCTTGCTTATCATCTACTGTCATATCCATCCTTAGTAAAATTTCAATAAATAATTGAAACCACATAAATGAAGCATTTTCTTGCTGAAGATTAGTGTGAGATTGTTCTGATCTGTAAAACCTAATTGGCAGTGTTTCATTTTGTAAATCTCGTTCTATCTGGATCAACTGACTTATATCAGCAAAGTTATTTGCTTGCGTAGAAATCACTTGTACCTATAAACAACAGATTATAAATATCTACTTGGAAGAGAAATGAACTGATGATGAAATTCTGTCCTACAAAAGCCTGTATACTTGTGTTTATAATCGTACCTTTGGATATTTTTTTGCCCATAATTCTTTTTCTTTTTCATATAAATAGAAAACAAAAATGATTTCAATTTGTGGCCAATCATAGATCATTGGTACTAATTCACGTCCTGTACTTGCCGACAGATATAATGCAAATTTTTTACCAGTTATCTCATTCATTTGTAGAATATAATCAATACATTCATTTTCATCATAAAATATTTTCAAACGATTTCCAAATGAATCTAATTGTTTTTCTATTTTTTTATTACTATTTTTTATACGATCATCAGTATCTTTGTTAAGCCATATTGTAGTCGGTTCAGCCTCTGATGAATTACAGAAAGCCATGCGTGTTAGACGAGAAATCGACCTCGAGAAAAATAGAAATATTATAATTTTTTTTCTATTTATTTTAATGGCGAAAGGAGAAGGACGGATAAGATAATTTTAAACTCTTCCCACCTTTAGAATTGATGTATTATTTCTATCAGGTATAGATAAGGGATGGTTCTAGTTCACTTTTATCAACTTTATTCTCCAAGAATCGTCATTAACGATTTTTGTGGCTGAGTTCCACCAAATATCATGAGAAATCGATGTGATTGTAGAGTCAGAATTACAGATTACGAATATCACTATCTTGAGAGCTTTTTCAGACCTCTTTATTTCATAAATAGTCTGAATCATTTTGTGGACACCATTTTTTATGACTAAGGCTCTCATACATCAAGCACCCAGTTATATTGAGAGAGAACTATTTTGTCTAATCAAGAATTTCAAACTCTTTACGAGTCTGAAGATTCTATGCCGAAAAAAATGTATCCTTAGAAAAAAATCGTGATTCTGTGGCCGAAGTTGATCTTTTTTTTTGAATACATATGCTTTCATGCCTATAACGTTTTTTCTGAAGACAGTCTTTTTGTCGCAAATAACGTCAAATTTGGGCCATAAGGGAATTTTTCAAGTCCTATCGATTGATAATCATAAAAATAAAGAAAAAGTTGTACAACGAGATCGAAAATCTGAAATATGAGTCAGGTCATATAAGCTACGATTGAATCTGCTCAAGTAAGATCATCGGATTTTTGCTGGCAACAGTCTAGAATGTCCTTTCAAAAATGTCCTTGGACGAAATGTCCTTTATTTTTTCGTCCTTACATATATATGTATATGAGAGGACGAAAAAATAAAGGACATTTCGTCCGAGGACATTTTCGAAAGGACATTCTAGCATGTATTCATTTTGCTTAATTTAAGGTACATTGCAGAGAAAAGAGTTTTAGGAATTTCTTCGCAAACTGTTTCAAAAAATATTGCATTTCTCTAGAGATATTTAAATTTCTTTGAGAGTACTATTGTAAAAACAACACATTTTTTATAATTTATTGTGGCAGCCATATCTCACGAAAGATACATTGTGTTGGCTCAAATTTTTTATTACCCACAAAAGAATCAATACAAATGCATGAACTGTTGATGAGTTGGCCAGTACTACAGTGGCCCAATAAAATGGTGATTTTTGTGGATATTGTACGCTTGTGTATTTGATGAACGGATCACATTAGAAAGTTGGCTTTTTGTGGGCAATAGCTTAATTTCATATGTATTCAAAAAACAGATCAATTTCAACCTCAGAATCACGACTTTTTTCTAAGGTTACATGTTTTCGGCATAAAAACTTCAGACTCGTAGAGAGCTTGAAATTCTAGATTGGACAAAATAGTTCTCTCTAAATATAATCGGGTATTTGGTCTATGAGGGGCTCAGCAATGCAAATGGCGTCCATAAAGTGGTTCGGACTATTTATAAAATAAAGGGATTTGGAAGGCTTTCATTGTGATATTCGTAATCATTACTTCTGATTCTACAATCACATCGATTCTTCATGATATCTAGGAAACTTCAGGCACAAAAATCGTCAATATCGATTTTTGGAGAATAAAATTGATAAAAGTGATCTAGAATCATTCCTTATCCAAACCTGATAGAAACAATAAAGCAATTCTAAACGCGAGGAGTTTAAAATTGCCTTGTTCGTCCTGCCCGTTAAGAAAATGAATCAATGTTTAAAAAGTGAGAAGAAAAATTAATTTATTTTTCTTTCCATTACTTTATGAGTGGGTTATTGAATAACAAAACCTCTTCTCTTGTATTTCTCTATTTATGTAAGGAGAACACTTCGTCACAAGAAGAGATTCGGAGAGAAACAGTTCCGTCACTTTTAACTGATGAATTTATTCACCAATGAATACTTTTACCAGTGACAGGATTGGAAAGAAAATTCAATGCAATATTATTTATTCAATCTGCCTGTGAAAAAGAGTATGAAACTTTCGTTGCCACAACAAAAAGGAACATGTATGTATGTGTTCTTTGTCGTATTAGGAGAATGCGGGTGAGAGTGAGGATAGGGGTAAGGGTGGGTGAAAATTTTAACATTCAGATAAATCTTACAAAAGTCACAGTCGTAAGAGTGGACATCACTGGTTTCACTGTTAGCTGACCAAAAGATCATCGAATGAATGGTTAAAATTTCATCAGGAATGACGAAAAGACTGCTCTGGCACTTCTGGAAAATCATAGTGTCAGAATATCACAGACAAGCTTTTAATTTAATTTTTGAATGAGATAAATTTCATATGGCAACTTGGATCATTAAATGGCATATAGGCCAATTTATAGCTAAAAAGCTATCGTCAATATATATCAAATATAATTCACCACTATTTGTAACTTGTTTTGCAATATCATTTCAGAAACAGAACATGATTTTCGAGAGTAAAATTGATCAATTGAATAATTTTTTAGTCGCATGCTCCAATGATTTCACAGTATTTGGTGGTTCGCATAAATTCATTTTGTCGATACAGATATTAAATGTTTTGATCGTTGGCTGTTCGCCGAATAGAATTGACCAGTCATTTTACACAGTAACTTCGTTGTTGAATAATGACGGTGTGGAAAAAGAAAATGAATTATTGGAGACTTTTTTAAATATCTTGTTTGAGTTGTCATCATTGAACAAGCATGGTTGCCTAATTCAACTTTGAATATAAGTGAAGCATTAACTACATAATATCAATTCAAAAATAAATGAAAAAACAATCAAGCCAACATTTGCCTATGGCAGAAGAAAAATTTTCTGTAAATTCTAAACTATAACTGAGATAGAACAATCCTATCACTACGCCAGAAGGCAGACAAAAACTTTTATTCGAGGGTGTGGGTGTGTGGGTGTGTGGGTGGGGGTGGGGGTGTTGATGTGAGTAATCACAAGATTGATATCCATATCCGACACCCACATCTCACCCACACACCCACACCCACACCCACACCCCACACTCACACCCTCACCCTCACACCCCACACCCACACCCACACCCTTACACCCACACCCACACCCAAACCCAAACCCACACCCACACCCACACCCAAACCCACATCCACACCTCACCCACACCCACACCCACACCCACACCCACACCCACATCCATACTCACATCCACACCCTAATCTTTGACTTACTGTCTTCTCTACTTTTTAGTTATAATAGAAAAAAGTAGCGTAGAATATTATTCATCAAATTGCACGATGACGAAATAGAGTAAGCTATTAAATAAACTTTGATAACTATTATATATTTTTTAACTTTTGAAAGTGAAACCATATATGTGCCATGTAACATATGCTGCTGGTTAGTAACTACTTCAATAAACTTAAAAAGCAATCCTAATGCAAATGAATTACTCAAAATATGAGGTAGTTAACACGAGAGAATGAACACATAAAACAGTGTAAGTAAAAGTGCAAGATAAAAAACTCTCATTGTCATCTTGCAGATGGAGAATTTTTAAATTCATTTGAATTTTTTTCTTTCTCTTGTTGGATCTTTTGTCAGTATCAGATGACCAGATAATGTTGGTCGATGTCATATTCTAGTCGATCGTTCTTGTGTCTAGCTATGGCGAACTACAGATAATCGAAATCTTAGTATAAAAAACGTCCTTATTTTGGAAAAATCGCCAGGAAATGTTCATGGCACATTCTTTTTTATCGAAAACATGAGTCAAATGGATCCATTGTAGATTGTGAAGGATTGGTACTACATAGTGACCGAGATAAATAGATATAAAGAAGAGGTCATGACTTTTGGTAACATTCCTCTGAAGATATTTCACAGTTCCTTCCAGCAAAGGCAACTCATGTAAAAGTTTAAGCAAACAAATTGAAAGAAAACGATTTGGATTTTTCCCGATACGCTTTCGTGAACACACATTTAATTTGGTAAAAAACGGCAACAAGCAGAGAATGGTTGAACAACTTTGAGTAACGAAAATGACCGTCACATGGTTCCTTTTTCAGTTATTACTGTATTGAATGCCATAGACACGATTGGAAATGTGAATTAACCGAATAAACATTGTGCACAAGGGTAATGGCATCGTTAACTCTTAAGTTCGTCGTGAGGTGTGAGCGAAGATGCAGATGAAGAGAAGGTTTTCATTCAAACCTCTAGTCATATATGTGGTAGACGCTTTGAATGCTCGAGTAGCGTGTTGACTCAAAAGGACTACCCAGAAAGAGTAAAGGAACATCATCAAAACAATTGAATAGCCTTGTCAGTCGGTCATTCGATTGATAGAGCAATCTTTATATCGTCAACTATGGTAATAATCATGTACAACGATTCTCCTCTGAATAGACTAGATATCTATGCAGACAGAAATAACTTTATGACGTTACATCTGCGCGTCAACCTGAGTGATTCTCTAAAGTAAACGAGTGCCCAAATAGACTTCACACGGATACAATGAAGTCTGACATTCTGAAATAAGGTACACTACACAAGACACAAATTGTTCAGCTTCTTCTTTATTCTTTCGATTCATTAGAGAAAAGGGCAGGGGAGAGAATGCTTGTTCTAGATATTATTATTGATTGTTTTTTCTTTTCATAACATATTTATTTGTATTCGGTTCTTTATAGTTTATTGATCGCATCACACAATTTTTCACTGAATTCAGTGACTGATGCTGGATTGGCGCCAAGAATGACTAAGAAAAAGAAAACAATATAAAAATAGGATTTCAATGGGCTTTATTTGACTCATGTTGTCCATCGACAGCGACATAGGAACCAAAAGCTTTATTATTCTTCTCAAACTTCGCTCCAAGTTCTCTCAGACGAGTTTCAACAAGAAATGGAATAACACCAGTCGTTTTGATTTGTGCTTCTTCTTCGTTACTAAATGATGTTGCTCGTCGATCAGCAAAAATCGATTTAACATCGACATCTTTGACTCCAACTTGAATACATCTATACGAAATTAATAAGCAATGTATTTTTTACGATCATTTACGTACCGAGAGCTACAGGACCATGACAGATTGCTGATAGAATTTTGCCTTGATTCCAAATGGTTTCTGCCAATTTAATGTTGGCTTCATCTTCTGGCAAATCGAAACAAGGTCCATGACCACCCACATAAAATACAGCAACATAATCATTCGGATTGATTTCACTTAGTTTTTTTGTATTTTCATATCCTCCTTATTTTGCTTTCTCATCGGCAAGGAATTGAACACAGATAGAATCGTCCTTGTATTTATCAATTGAAGAAGGATCCAATGGTGCTTTGCTACCTCTAGGACTAGCCCAATCAATTTTGAAATAATGTTCTAGTGCATAGTACGGATGAGCAGCCTAGATATAGAGTTGCAATAGAAATAAAGTTGACTGAGAGAATATTTACAAACCTCGGGTAAATACCATCCGGTTGGATATCCATTGAGTAGTTTATTGTGAGAAGTGAGTATGAATAGAACTTTTTTTTGCACCATACTTATACGATACAATGTACGTGCTGATGTTTGATTGCCGAGCAGCAAATCAAGTGAAAAATAAGAAAGAAAGAAAAGTGCGAGAAATGATAGTTTTGTAAATGTTCTTTTTTTCCTTGATTCATTTTTCAATGTCCTACTTCATTCTATTTTTATTGTGCTTTTTTTTCTTCGATGTTCTTACTTATTATGAAAGTCAATATTTTTTTTATAGGAATCACGATATGTGTTAGAGTCTCTTAACTTTATACCAGAAAAGAACACTCAAATGGACAATTTTCTTACTTGAAAGTGAATGTGTTAGCTAACAGTTCTTGTAAATATTTCATCATTTTTTTATTTTCTTTCATTTTTCTTCAATCATTTTATCTATATTTTTGAAAGACTCTTCTATTATATCTATTATATCTTTTTTTCTAATTGACAGCTATTACTTTCTTCGATTCAATCAATATCAGACTATGCATCTGTGACACATATTATCAGAGAATGAAAAGAGTAACATGCATCTACCAGATCTAGATTCTTTTGATAATGAAATGAGGTAATACTATATAATTAAGTGCTAACCATATCTCACGCAGATAAAAAGAAACACTACTTAAATTATTACAGTAGAATGTCCATGCTGAAAATGACATAGAAAATACTAGATACAATTTTTAAATCAATGTGGATTAGAATACTTCTGATTCTTATAGAACATGTGTTGATTTAATTTGTGACTGTGTAAGAATGAATTTCCTAAAATGGATGAAACAAATATTGGACAACAAATGTTGTTATAAATCACTTGTTGTTAGTTAGTTGATAGAAGTTGTGATAAGAATCCAAGATTTAAAACTCTAAGAAAAAAGGAATATACCTCCTTGTTCAAGTATAAATGATGTTGTCAACTGTTCACAATGTGGGTGAAATTATAATACATGTATGTCCGAATAAAAGCTATGACAGATTATTAAAATCAAAAGGAGACCATAATGCATGTGAAAGTATGCGCTAAATCATGGTTAAAAGAACAAGGATTTCTGATATAGTGACCAACATTTGAGTGTAGATTACTGTATTTTATGATGACTGTCACCAAAACCAAATTCTCTTATGATCAGGCGGTAGCAGACTGATGGATGATGTAGTAATCTCTTTCTTAGAGACGTATTCGTCGATTTTTATGATTCAAATGTGATGCACTTATTTTTATCTTTATTTCTGTACGTATTTTGTGTCCTTTATCCTTGTGCATCTCCGTCTTTATATATTTTATCCCATTTGTATGCTTGTTTTCTTCTCTTTTTTAAAACTCTGTACTGAGTTCTGTTACTTCTATTTGTTCTTCGCCTAAATTAGCTCCAGCAGACCTGTGACAATCTTTTTGTCTATCTGTCTATTCCTGATTCAGATCAGATGTAAATGGGAGGAATTAAAGAGTGGCTGCAAAACAGTCTTATTCATCCTCTTCCTCTTTGATATATTTTTATTTTACAATATAAAGATAATTATGATTGTTCAAAAAATTTTCCATATTTAATTCGTTCAAGGTTGAGTAAGCATTGGATGCAAGTTTGGATTAAAGTTCGGAATATGTTGTACGCTGGTTGAACATGTTTCGAACACGAAGAACAATAAGAACGATAATTATGAGTACCCCAATGCAGACGCCGGTAATTGATAAACCTAACACAGTATTGTAACCTTTTGGTGCAACTGAAGTTGATGTGAAGGCATAGAAGTCCTTGGTTTCTGTTGAATTTATGACCTGATTTGTTTGATTTTTGATCGAGATGGAAAAGAATGGCGGTAAAACAACAGATGGTAACTGTCGAAGTTCCAGAAACTTTTCAAATTTTAAGCATATATACAACAGACAATTAGCTTCGATTACACCCATCACATATGCGCTATAGCCACGTGAACACTCCTTTTCATTTAAACCTCCTGCAATATTCCCTTGATCACATGAATAAATACCACCATAATGAGGTAAATCATCGGTATTTGTAACTTGATCGGCTAAACATACTACAAGGTCATCAGTCACATGCACCGCACTAAATAATTCATCGGGACAGTTTTTAGTACCAGTTACTGGATTTACTCTGACTGATGTGAATGAACCACCATATACATATCTGTTGCCGATTTGTAGAATCCCATTAGATGGTCTAAGCTGATTGTTTTTATTATTACATGCATATAAATTTAAATGGCGCTGACCAATACTAACGACGACGTCCTGGTGACATGTTGCTAACCAAAGAAATCCGCAGGCCCAAGATTTTCTTTCAAATATGTTTTCAGTTTGTACAGATTGATGTAAAAGATATTTGGCAAAATCAGGTGGACACTCTTCAGTCTGGGTAAAAAAATTTGTCAAATAGTACTTATTGCATTCTCTAAATTCGACAATGAAAGAACATTAAGTTTTCTTCGAATTTATAAATCAAATAGTCTAATTAATCGAATGATAGGATACATAACATGTTTTTGGGAATCAAAGGAGAATACCATCAATAGTACTCATGATAATATCGTATTTTCTATTGGGAAACAAGAAACTCAACTGTAGATGACAAAATGTACGATGCATCGTTTTTTAAGCTTTGTCGATATATTGTCCCGTACTATTCATTCACAAATCAACAGACAGTTCTCACACCTTGATTAGGCTATCGACTAGGCATTTTCTTTGGGATTGAAAAAATCTAAGGTATGAACTGGTCAACGGTCATTCACTTACTGCTTCAAACGCTTGTCTTCGGTACAAGTGCGAATAAATCCTCCAAATTGTGAGTTTTGTTCGGGTGGTGCACATGAATCATCATCAACATTGGCGACCCAATTGAATGATGGCGAAGTTCGATTCATACATCCATTATGCACATTCATTTGAATATATGTTTCAATTGCTTCGTTGATTTTCTCTCGTACACGTGCCAAAGCGATTTCAGACAATTCTGGAATTTTGTCCGATTGAATAAAAAATGTTATATTTTCTATGGCACGTCGAACAATAACTGGCTTTGTCTCAATTGATGCTTGCCATGTTTCCATTGATCCTCCAGATAGACATACTTTTCCACCTTTGGAATTAACTACTTTGCGAGTTATCGTCTTTTTAATGGCATCCATGCTATTATTATTAGTCTCTGAACTAGAGGCAAAGTTTGCCGATATACCGAATGTGCCCAAGAACGATGCTTCGGCCGCTACATGATAACTGTGCTTGGTCTCTTCACTTGATTGGTACATGGTGTTCTTTATGTAGTCTTCTTCAATGATTGAACCACCTAAATTTATACGCTCAGTAAAGTGTGTGCCATAGTTTTTGACGAACAGCTGAGCAGCATAAGTAGCCATCGTGAATTGCTCGCTAGCTTCGTATTTTGCAATATCAATAATGTCTCTTTTGACCTGTGGATTTAATGGACATGATGATCTCAGGATGACATCGAACATAAGATAATCAATTTGATTTCGAAGTATTATGGTATGTTCTTCTCCTTGGTATTTTTTAGCTGTTTGAAATTCATTTGAATAAGAACCACTTATTTGAAAACTCTGAAAGCCAGTACTACTGCCGATCAATAAGTTTGATGAATAGTCGCTTATTCGACCATCAAACATATCAATAGCTTGAGATCCTAACGAAATTTTATTCTGATAAATTGGAATGACTTCAATGCATGATTGAAACATTTTCGAATCATTAAAATTCGACACATCATAGATCGGACTCAAGTCAATAAATCGTAAATTGTCCCAACCGAAGCCCGGATAAATGTCAACCGTTAATGATTTTTTGCCATCTGCTTGAATTCGATGAATAATGATCATCGCCAAAAACAGAAATTTATACTCCATTGCTCTTAAGAGACAGATTATAATATTTCATCTGTGTGAGAGTTAACGTGAGATATTTATAGCATTTATATAGTAGCAAATGATGAAGCATTTTTCCTATGTGTGTTAAATGGAGTCGAGATGATACTTGAGAGTGCGCATAAAACTTTCTCCCTTGTTTGAGTGTGAGCATTAAATACCACACTAGAGATCATACTCAGGTCATTGCATAAAGAAAGAAAAAGTCAAACAAATATCTTTTAAGGATGTAGGCGATTGAATATAATGCAAACTCTCGATACACGAGCAAAAATTTTCCCTCTTGTGATTAAATGAATGAGATAACGAGTAGTGATGACTGAATAATATTTAATGAAGGAGAAGTAGTTGTGACTAGGGGTGGGACATTTTTTTTAACGGGACTTAATTAATGAACTTAATTAAGTGTGTCACTTAGCACTAACACTTAATATTAAAAGTAAGTTATTCACTTAACACTTAATATTAAAATTAAGTGATTCAATTAACACTTAATATTAAAATCAAGTCTTTTCAATCAATCACTTAATTCATTAATATTAAGTGATTAAGTGATTGAAATGAGAAAAATTTTATGTCATGTCGATTTTTTATCAAAAAAAAGTTGACTAGACAAAATACTGAGGAAAATCTTATAGAGTCAGACTAACATTACAATAATCACTAGGACTCATCGTTATAGCTATTGTAAACAGCTGTAGTCCTTAGATATTGTATTCACTAATAACAATAATGCTTCATTTTCAGAGTTGAGTACAGGACAGAAAGAAATTAACATTTTTGTCCTGTTTTACTGATCGACAGGGCGTGGGTTGCTGGAGCGGCAAGGCAGGACAGGGGTGATGGAGCGATAGAGCACAACAAAATGAAAATACTCGTTTTAACTGTCACCAAAATTTTCCTTTACGATTTTTTCTAATATTGAGGGTGCGGATATGGATATGTGGGTGTGGGGTATGGGATGTGGGTGGTGGGTATGAATGTGAGTGTGGGTGTGGCTGTTGCTGTGGGTGTATTGGTGTGAGATGGAGGTGTGTGGGTGTGATTGAGTGTTGGTGTGGGTGGGCATGGGTAGAGGCATTTCTTCTCCATCCACACTCCCACACCCTTATGGAAGCTCCAGTTGTATCAACACTCATATCAACCAAATTCATCCGACATCTTTAGCTGGGGATCTAGGAATATGAATGATTGTGTGCAGACTTCAGCGGCTGAAGGAAATGTTAGGTTAGACTGTGAATGAGGGTATGCCAGATAATGATGTTGGTTGAGGATCTCTTGAGGCGTTTATGTTGTTGAATATAGCTGATTAAAATTTTAGGTGGCAGCATTGATAATACTTTCTGCTAGATTCGATGATTGTGTATGTTACCTTCAAGAATCTAGCGCGTATCTTCAAAAGAATAAATGTTGGGCAGTAGCTTTTGTGAGCACTTGTGTACTAGATGTCTGTGTCACTTTATCTGCAGTAACGGAGAAGGATCTATCAATCATGAGTCAATCGATAATGTTCGTCGAGTTCCAGTGAGGGCAACAGACTCTGATGAAACATTTATTAAGGTAATTACTTAAGAGAGCTCTATTGGTTTTTTACCAAGTATGTCGTCATAGTGTAGGTTTTTAATTTTTGAGGACTTTCACAAATACAACACTTTCTAATCATTATCACTCAACTACACATTCGATTCTCTGCAAGACGAAGTTAATAGGATCACTGTTCGCCTAAAATGCGAACATATCGTTAGTGCCTGTAATATTTTCTCGATACATTATTAATAGCATACATGACGATCTACCCTTCATACGACTATTATTATTTTTTTCTTATCTTATTCTATTTTATTCATTAGGTCAAATAGATTTGATCCGACAACGTGTATCAGAATGTTACTGATAGTCTCCACTCCTTTATGTACCATCTTAGTATTTAATATTTTTTTAAAAACTGTTGCAAAATATTGAAATAAATGAAAATATATGTCGAGCTTTGAAAAAACTCACCAACAGTGATCTCTGTCTTCAAAATGCTATTGGCAACAAAATAAAAAAACCTAAACAAATGATTGAATAAATTCATTCTCACTACGAAGAAAGTTACTCCCACATGCGGCTCTGCTATTTTTTACTTCTTTTCTTTCCTTGGAAAAAAACATACTTGAAGCTGTTTTTTTATTATTTTACCAACATACGATTGAACAACAAAGTACACAGAGATGGCTGAAGAAACAATTCAGTTGTCCCATTTCTAACGGACGAAGTCAAGTTGACGCACACAATTCATTTTAAAAAAATTTTAAAAGCTCTTTTAACTATCAAATAAAATTCAATTAGACTTCGATGCAGGTATGAGTGAGGATACAGGTGCGGGCGCCGAATAGGGTTTGGGTGTGGGTGTGAGTTTGGTAGTGGGTGTGAGTTTGGTAGTGGGTGTGAGTTTGGTAGTGGGTGTGCGGATGCGAATCAACAAATGATCAACAGGCACACCTACACCCTCAAGATTCTATTTCTCACTGATACAAAGGATCGAGCCCCACACATATACCGTTTATTCGATACAACATCCTCGATAACGCCAGGATCGGCCTGAACATGACTGGTAGTTGCTCGAGCAATAAGAAAGACAAGGTTTCCTTAAACCTAATTAATCAAAAAGCAGACCAATCAGATTGGGAGACTCTAGTTCTCAGTGATAGAAAGGGCAGAGGCCCACACATATATCCCTCATTCGATAGAGCACCCTCGATAACTCCAGGACTGGTCCAAACATGACTATTCGTTGTCCGTGCAACAAGAAAGAAATGGCCTTCTGAAGTCTGATTGGTGAAAAACTGGATGAATGACGTAGATGAAGTTAGCAGCGGATTCGAGTAATTTCAGCGGCGATTCGTTCAACGACCTGGTTCAAATCACCTATTTTCGGCTCAAGTAGAACTCGATGAGCTCTATCCAATGGTGCAATCAGATTTTTCATAGCCCAAACTATGGTCCCAAAAATCTCGAAATACTAGTATTTTGGTATTGAAACTTTGGCAGCCGATTCGAGTAACTCCAGCAGCGATTCACCCAACGACCTGGTCCAAGTCTCCTATTCTCGGTCCAAGTACAACTCAACGAGCTCTATCCAATGGTATGCTCAGGTGGGTGTGGGGTGTGGGTGTGGGTGCTGTGGGTGTGGGTGGGTGGGTGTGCGTGTGGGTGTGGGTAGGTGTGGGTGTGGGATGTGGAT